GAAGAAATGTTGTGGTTCACTTTCAGGTTTAATTTAACAGAACGTAATTTATGATGCTTATTTTTTTTTTGTAAGCTACCTTTTCTGATTTTAGTTTTATTTATGTATATGGACGTAAATATTTGTATATACAAAGACGTAACTAGACAATTTTTACGTCTTGTCTAGGTATTGTATATACACATATGTGAACATTTCATTTAATGGCAATATTTATCTAAAATACTCTTGTATAGTTTGTGTTGTCTTTTCTCCATTTTGTATTCTTATTGGCTAGACATAATTAATCCAGTAAAAGAACTGTTATTGGAGTGTCATTATAAACTGGAAATATAGAATTTAGTACACGATAGACATAGTAAGTAAAACATTAACCCTTTCGAGACGGGTCACAGGTGAAAGGCCATGTCACTTCGCTTGTTCACTCGCAATCAAAATTTTATTGAACTACTATTTCATGAACTTATGTTAACAACTTTGGTATCGATCTGTATATTATAATTTAAATTTTAGTTCTGTATATTAATCAAATTAAAAGTAAATATTAAAAAACACAAAGAAACATCGTTTTTGTGTGTCACATGGTATGTTGAATGCAGCACTGGTTCAAATTGGATGTTTGTGAAGTCAAAATACTAAGTCTGTAGTTTTGAACGAATTAAAAACAAATTACGATACTTACAAGCTATAATATAAAATACGAGCCTCTTATCTTTTTAATTTGCTAAGATATTGCTCATGTAAGAAATCAAACACTGGCACCACGTTCACCTCTTTTCATTTTTGGGAACACTTCCTTATACACACTTACATCTATATATGACATGACTAACCAATCGGAAGCTCAGAATGTCCCTTAGTGGCTTTCTCAGCCATTTTAATGGACTTGGCACCATTTCTTTCTTTTGAACCAAGATTTCGAGGACGTAGGTTGTGTCTTTAGTCTGCTCGAAATTTCATATTTTCTTAAACCGAAATGCAGCTTAGTTGCAAAGCTTGATAAATTATAGGGAAATTCTAAGATATCGATATAGTAATTTCTGATTTTTTGGTTATTCAACTATATAAATAAAACCTGAACAAATTATTTTGTTTCATATCCTCCACGTGCAATTTTTTTCAAAAGCTCAGCAACCGACTACAAAGGTAGTAACTAGAAGAGATAATTGTTTGATTTACTTCTTTATCTACTGTTCTATGTTTTAAGAAAAATAAGTTTAAGAACTTATTTCAAAATAGCAATAATCTATATACATATATAATGTATAATAATTGAAATGCAACTATTTTACAAAATACTAGTCTACTAAAACACAGCCAAGACAAGTTACTTTGCACAGAACAAAGGTCAGTTTTATGTTATTTGATACAGTAACATAAGTGGACATGAGCCACGTCATTGTAACTTCTCTATTGTTAGACAGGCATGGCTGAAAGGTCAATATCATAAAAATAATAAATATATATAAATGTATAATGTTATAAGGTTTAAGATATTTAGTCTAAACATTTATGTTTTCATGTTATAATCAGTGTTCATTCTAGAATGAAAGAGGCATAATTTATATTTATTTCCTAATTTTTTATGGTGGTTGCAAGATTGGTCAAATCTACCAAACCTGTACAGAAATTAATTACTAAAAATAACAGATAAATTACAGTTTTTTCTTAAATGTTTGATAACTATCTCAACATTATAAAAATTTTGCATGTGAGATTTTAAAATTTTCTGATGCATAAAAGTATTTTTAATCTTAAAATGAATATTACTCTGCATGATAAATAGGCAAAATAGGCAAAACACGAAAAAAACATTGCTTTATAAACCTTAAGACTTAAAAAACATTTTATATTTTGCATATGAAAGCATTGTAATGTTTACTTATAATCTGCCAAATTTCGTTAACATTCGCTTACTAATTTAAAATTTATAGCATGAAAATTATAACAGGCACAAAATAGTTATGAGGTCGGTCCCAGGGACAGAGTCTGTGCTGAAAGAGTTAACCGATTTATAAGTTAGTTAGAAAGCCAGCTAAACTATTGTAATTTTGGCACATTATATTCTAGAGCTTGATATATTTTAATGTCCTAAAATGCACATTTGAAAGCTAGTTGAATTTTTTGGATAAAAAGTTAGAGAGAAAAAAATATGTTTACTAAATCACACACTTGAGTGAAAAAGCTTCAACACTAAAGTAAGCATACATTTTTTTTATTTTTATGTATATTTTTATTTATTGTTACATATTTTTTTAACAGAAGTAACAAAATTAGAAACTTTTTAGGTTAGATAAAAAATGTAAATGAAAAAAAAATGAATAAAAAAATTTTTCTTCAAGGAATGCATGAAGGCTGCCACCACAAGATATAATTGCATGATTCTGATGTAACTCTATAGTATATTTCCCTAAGTCCTCACTGGGTGACTTATTGCTTTGTTATTCCAGTTAGACTTGGTTCAGAAATCAATAAAATAAAAAACTAAATGAAAGCAGATGTGAAACTGTTAGATGCCTAATACTTTTTAGGATAAATAACTTTTGACTGTCTATTACAATCTGCAGTCATTCTAGGCTAAAAATGATTTTGATTTTATTTCATACTTTTAAAATTTTGCAGATGATTTCACTATAGTTAGTGTAAGGGAAGGAAAAATTAAAGATATAGTGTGAAGTTTTACTATAAAAAGAAAACTTTAATTATTCATTTAATATGTTCTAGAAGTTATGCAAAAAATATGAAAATTGCAAGATGAAAAAAATATTTTTATTCTTAGTGTGGAAATCCAGCCACTTAGAACTACTAATTAAAGGCTTGGTAAATTCACAGACAAATCTTTAGTATAAAATACGTAATTAAAAAGTCTTATTTTTTGTGTACAACATATTTACTAAAAGTTTGCCAAATTTTGTAAAGATACACTTAGTACAATCAGTTAAAGTATGTATGGTTACAAGGTCAGTCAAATTGACAGAGCCTATCTTTATGGTGCTAACAAGAAAAATATGGAGATATTCAGTGTTAAGTATAAGAGAAGTGCTTTTAGACTATGAAGTGTTTTATGAAAGTGACAAAAAGCACATTAAACACCACCCTGCCTAGTAATCCATGCGATGGTTGAAAATGGACATTCTGGTGATGAGTAAAACAAGCAATTTTGAACAGCATGAAAGCAGATACTCAAGTGCAAAACTTTATAAAAATGCACCAAAACCACCTCAGTACAAATATATACATTTTAAAAATTTTGCAACATTTTGATACAAGCTAGTTGGAAAATGTAAGATGAATAAAGCACAAATTTTGAAAGAGATATTAGTATGGTTAAAATTTATTTTACTCAACTGAGACACAATAATTATTTTTTAGTAGCACTGGCCAGAATGAAACCTGAATGGAATTTCATGGATTTTAAACACTCTATTTATATGTAAATATATAACAAAGAACAGGCTAATGAATAAACAAAATTTTTCTCGTACGTATATAAACAGATTCAATTCCATAAAGTCAAGAATTGGAAATGCTAATTTTTACTAGTAAATAACTACACCCAATGATACTGATCCCCTTCACAAATAAATAGGAAAACTGCAACAAAGTTTTGGAAAGAAGCAAACACGATTATTTTAAAATGTCTAGACCTTTAGCTTTCTAAAAACATACCAATATCACTCTCGATTTCCTCTTCTTCCTCTTTCTCTTCAGCGGGTTCTTTAGCTTCTTCTTCTTCTGTTGGGTGCTAAAGAAAATTTAATATGTAAACATACTGTTTATAGACAACAACAATACCTAAAGTTCATGACCTGGACCAATGTTTCTCAATATTTTTGATACCATGGGCCAAGACGCTGCTTCCTTAAACTGACGTGGACCACTAAAATCCCACGGACTCATGTTATACTACCTGTTTTGTACTACTTGTAAATTATATGTTAAAAACCAAGTTTGGATTAGTTCTGATAATAGAAAAGTAGCTTCCTCTACTCTTCAGATAATTAAATAAAAAAGAACATTTTATTTAAACCTATGTTTCACCATTGCAGCTTCATTAGGGCTTCCACAAAAACTCTTCAGAGCTATAACTTTTGTACAAGCCCTTATGAAGCCGTAATACCAAAATGTACGTTGAAATAATTATTTATTTTATTTATTTGGAGAGTAAGGGTTTTTTTTTTTTACCTTTATTGTTGAAAATGACTAAACCCCTTCAATATGCACTACAAATTCTAATACACAAAAAATGTTAGTTGTGATGTTAAAATGAATTGCCCAATATTAAGCTTTAATAGAGATTTCCTTTCATTTGTTTAAAGTTTTAACAAAATCAAGCCCTTGAACAACCATAAACAAGTTCATATTATTCAACTAAAAAATTTCTTCCTACAGATTATGTTTTCTGTGTATTTGTATTTATGACAAAGCTACTAAAACTATCTGCCACTGTCATTAATTGTTAACTACTGAACAAAGGTAAGGCTGCCAGTCATTGATTGACATTTTTACAACACACACTCACAGCTTAAAGTTCAGGGAATATATTGTGTTATTGCACAGATTTGAACCCAGATGCCAGCTCCAACATCCGGAGTTTTATCACAAGGATAACCTATGCCCAATCACTGTTTTAAGAGAATTTGACAGACTTCAGGTCTATGTCACAATACTACTACTACTGTGTCTATCATACCCCAGTCAGCCTAATGAGACATGGTATTGGGTGAAAGACCTCATGTTTTGGGGCAACAAGGAACCTACCTATTGGTCCATCTCAGCTGTCCCATCCTCTAAACTAAACTAAAACTACTAAATAAATAAAATCTTAAAGCCAGCCTTTCTCAATCATATATTTATCAAGCTTTTTCTTAAACTCACTTAAACTTACTGTCTCCACAACATCTGAAAGCAACCCACTCCAAAGGCCAACCACCCTGTTATAAAAATAAAACTGTCTTAGCTGAAGATGAATCCTACCCTGCCAAAATTTGTCCCCTCGTCCTACTATTATCACTGTTAAGATGAAAAAAGATGATGCATCAACACTATCAACTCCCTTTATAATGTTAAACATCTCAATCAGATCCCCTCTAACTCTACTTTTTTCATGAGAAAACAATTTGAGAGATCTCAACCTCTCCTTGTATGACAACACCTCCATCCCAGGCACCATTTTAGTAACCCTCCTCTGAACCATTTCCAACATTTCAATATCCTTCCTAAAGTAAAGAGCCCAAGACTGATCACAATGCTCCAAATGTGTCCTAACAAATGACATATACAATGAAATTATAATCTAGCATTCTATTTGTCTTACCACTAGCAACAGCAAACTGCTCGGATGGCTTAAGAGACTGATCAACCATTACACGAAGATCCCTTTCTTTCATGACAATGTTAAGGTTATTCCCATCCTAATTATACTTACAATTCCAATTATGATAATCCACATGCATTATCTTCCATTTATCATAATTAAAACCCATTTGTCGTATATTTGCCCAACTAACTAAATTATTTAAATCATTTTATAAATCAGCAGCATCCTCTTCACAACCAACAATTCCCAAGACCTTAATATCATCTGCAAATTTAAGTAATTTATTGACCATTCCTTCATCTATGTCATTGATGCAAGTCAAAAAAAGCAAAAGTCCTAAGACTGAGCCCTGAGGTACACCACTTGTAACATTAATCCAGACTGACTAAACTCCATTTATAACAATCCTCTACTTTCTTCCATCTAGCCAATCTTCTATCCAATTTGCTTATTTATCTCCCACACCTATAGAGATAATTTTTTACAAGGCTTTCATGTGGCACCATATCAAATGCTTTCTGAGCCTTCCTTTACCATACCTCAAGGGTTCTACCCCAATCCTTACATTTTGTTTACTCTTAATATACTTAAAGAAATGCTTACTGTTAATTTTTACATTTTCAGTTAAACTTTTTTCATACATCCTTTTTTATGTCCCAATTTCCTGTTTGACTAACTTTCTTGATCTTCTAAATCTCCCACCATACCAGTCAATTTAAATTTCTTAAATTTATTATGCTTTTCTTTAATTTTATCTCTTATACCCTTTGTGAGCCAACCTGGTTTTTTACTTACAGCCATTGTTTTTTTCTATAAGGAATATGTTTATCTTGAATATTTAAAAATTTTCCACATTTGATCAGTATCTCCAAATAATTCAGCTGCCCAATTCACAATAGATTATTCTTGTCACATCCCTTAAAAATTTACTTCTTTTGAAATCTGTAACCAACATATCTTTGTTCCTTATCTCAATATGCAGCAAAACATCAAACCTAATAGATCAATGATCACTTGCACCCAGATGTTTCCCAATTTCAACCCTCTCAATCATTTCTATATTTGAAGTTAACAGTAACTTTAAAATAACATTGTTTATAGTAGGTTCCTTGACCAATTGGTAAAGAAGCCATCTTGAACAGTTTTCACAAACCTTTCTCTCTCATGGTTTGACTCTAGCATTTCCAATCTCTTTGCCTGAAATTAAGATCACCCATAATTATGACCTCATTAACAGCTGAAATCTTAATCTCGCAGTAGTTTTTGACTAATTTCATCAGCATCATCTGGTGGTCTGTAACAAATTCCCACTAAAAGCCTTTTCCCTTTATGCCTGCTAATAGAAACCCAAATGGATTCAATCTCCTTGCTATTATCTTTTATATCCTCAATTTCACTCAAATGGTGAAGTTATATATTCTTTGCTTTCACTCACAAATTAGTAAAAATACAAACAGAAACAAAAAATAAGATAAAAGGAGCATAATCTTTACTGAATTAATTGTAAAGGTAACAGAATACTAAACAGTTAATCCAACTACATGTCAATGGTTTTTATGATGAATCTAAACTTATTCCTATTATAAAAAGATTTTTACTCTTTAATGATTTCTCCATTTTTGTATTGCCATCAATTAATAACTGTAATAATGCAACTAATCTAACAATGAACTTTACTAAAAGAAACCTTTTTAATTAATATTATATTTTTAATATTATAACATAATATATAATGATTTATGTAGCTGATACATATTCATAATAAACCAATGAGATTAATGGAATAGTCTTTTTACTCAGCACATTTACCTCACCAAAAGTAGACTTGGATTCAGATTCTTCTTTTGGCTTTGGAGGTGGAGGAATTGTTGCTCCTAAGCTGAATATATGAAAAAATTTGGTAAGTCAATTTATAGTCTCCATAAACTTTTAACCACTGTATTCCTAAAACATCATTTGAATGTCATTTTCAAACTAATTTTTACTCTCATTTTTATCTATTATAATAATATTCAGCTTTTGTTTGCCCTGAAAATGTGCACGCATACACACACTTCATTTTAATGGATGTAAACAAAAGGCAGATGTGAATATACTTTAGTACATTTTGTACAACAACATATTAAAAGCTTAAAGTTTTTATTTAAAAATGCCTAACTTAAGATCTTAGAATAACACAAGTTCATTTATTGATAGTATTTAAGCACAGTAAAGTTTACCCCTAACTAAACTAAAGCAAAAAACATACTTAAGTTACAAGTCATCTCTATCAAATATAGGCCATAATTAATAAAGGGTTAACTAATGTTAGGCCTAAGACAAGTGAACTCGTAGATTTTGGTATTTGTGATTAGAATTATTTTGTATTATTCTAGAAATCCTGTATTTAAATAAGTAGTTTTGCAATAAAGATAGTAATTTAACCACAAATCTTTTGCAGGTTTCTGCTAGTTTGAAAATAAACATTACAGCAAAACATATTTTCTTCAATAAATAACTAACACCAACAACATGCATTTTTATTTACATAATCACATCACATGCTAAGGAATGATAACTTTAAATGCCCCACGAAAATGAAGACCCAAATCATGCTGGTTGAATCATATAAAATTTATCACCTCCCTGCTCGATATACATGCTTTCATCGAATGTGTTTCAAATCTCAGAACTCACACTTCGTCACTTTTGACATTTGTCTAATATCACAAAACATTAGCTATTACTGTCGATAAAGAAGTAAATGCTCCCCTGATAATTATAGGTGCAACGAGCAGCCAGTTACGACAATTGCCAACCTTCGTGATTCTTGCTTTTCAACCATTTGTTTCCAACTCTAAGAACCCAAAATATCTAGTTCTTCTCATTCAGAAGCAATCCAATCAATCAGCAATCACACTTGTTGAGCCACAACTACTTTTAAGGTAACTTCTTAGAACTATGTATATTCATAAATAATGGAACTGTCACATGATGAAATGGAATGTTCCAAAGCCGTCCTATAGGCAAGTTATTTTGTAAATATTTGTATATACCTGTTTACCACTTACAACTTATAATGACATCTCCAACAGTGACTTGCACAATTCAAACAATTGACAAAAAAACTTATTAGAAAGTAATAGGACATTCCACATTCCCCAATCACTCTGTTGCTATGCGATGTCCCCAAACACAGTGCAGTACTTGTGGCATATCATCCAGAAAACTTCGTGGGAAAAGTGTGCATAAATCTCCAGCAAGCACACAGTGTGTATTAGTTTTGTGCATAGGGTGATGTTATCAATCGATTGCTAATCTACAGTCCATAAAAAAAAATGGGTGTGCTTCACAATTCGAGGAGCATTGTTTTTTTAACCTTTCTTTCATTCAGTGTATCAACTTATGTAAATAAATGAGAAACAGACAGACTGTTTTATCTGATGATAATTTACTCTATGGTGAATAATGTTTTGTGTTGAAAGAAAAAGTACAGGGTCATGATTGTCAGCACACTTACAAATCAGAAGATTGTTGTGAATATTCTTGTTTTTAATTTCTCGGCAATCAGTTTTCAGTGATCAGGAAATTCAACAAATTCCACCAATTCCAATTGTCGCCTGATTATGCAATAATCATCCCGATTGTCTGACCGATTATCGGTAAAACACTACATAATATAAATAATGACTTTAAATGAACACAAAATAATGATTTAAAAACAGGAATAATAATACAATTCTCGTGATGGTCTCTTTGATACCATCTTCCACATCTATTTCATTAGTTAATTACACTAGGCATAGCAAAAAAAGGCTAGCCATGGGCTGCTATCATCCCTGGGATTAAAGAGGAGCTACCCAACATCTGTGGCCTCTTTGACCTACTGCTGTCTGTACTAGCCAGCTCTGCTGAAGCAGATAGGAGCTTCAGCAAGATGATGATGATCAAGACCAATTTGAGATCTTGTCTGTGAGCTGACAGGATCACTGTTCAGCTTCTGGTCATGCTCCTCTTGCCTTCAATAAGTGACTTTGATCCCATAACAGCTATCCGTCTTTGAAACTCAGGATCACTTCGCACATGGCAGGGTCCAAATTGAGAAGCAGGTGCTGGAGAGTGACGAAGAAGGGGATAAAGGAAGAATCCAAGAAATGGATGTTGGGACATCATCAGACACTGATGCAAACTAGATTTCATTATATATTTTGATTAGGAATGGGCACTACTTTAAAGGGGAACAAAAAGTTCCTGACATATCATGCGTCAGAGAGAAATTAAAGATCACATATGAAATAAAAATAATTTAAGTGGTCTGAAACAAATAAAATAGTTTGACTTGTCTCGTTTTTCATGAAATATGAGTTCATAACAAAATAAATTGAAATGTTGATATCTTTAGTTTCCTTTCAATTTACATAATATTTGCTATTTAATTCAGTGATTTTTCTGATAACTTCCACAATAGAGTACATTTTACAATGAGATATAGGATTGGCCCCTAAAATTGCTTGAGGGCTCCAAAAATGCCTGTTTTGGGGGGCCTGGCTGGCTCCCCAAAAAATAAAGTTAAGTGTCCCTGCAATGCGAATATTGTGAATAACAATGATGAAGACGTACGTAACAAAAATGACAATATGGATTTTACTAATAATGACAGAGTGAATACTTCATGAAAGAATGCAAAAATGTACAGATCAGATGTTTTCAGAATAATGCTTCTTTGACATGAAATTTACCAAGTTGAAAAATCACACAAAAGTAAATCCTTCAATTTTATTTCTGAAACAAGTCGTATAATTATCTTCAGCACTTCACTACTAAAGAAAATATGCTTATTATCTTACCCAATGACACAGACCAATTATTGCTTAACACTGGAAAAAAAATTGTAAAAGATAGCAAAAAAACCAAAGAAATCATATACATTAAAAGTTAAATAAAAATAAAAATGAAGTACAATTGAAACTTCTGCTGCATTCTATCCAGAGAAGAGTGTTATTAGCTCCATTGCATGCTTAACCACAAAATGATGAAGTTTTCCATTTGTGTAAAATTGATATCAAAACCCAATAGCCTACCTGATATTTTTACCTCACTACAGTATCTTGTAAATGCACTCCAAACGAGGGTGTTTACAAATGCAATGTTAGTTATCTAACATTACTAATATATATATATATAGCTAGTATTCATTGATACATGGATCTTTATGTAGCCATATCTTCACTTATACTTTAGACTTTGCACACAAAAAAAGCTGCGAAACCCTTATCATTAGAACTTTCATTAAGTATCATTTCTGCAGCAAAATTCTAAGAGGATATTGATCATCCTAACCCTTTTACAAAATATCACCCAATTTGCCCATACAAGTGTTTAATATTCATTTTAGGGACTCCTGAAATAAATTTGAAAGGACTGTCAGAAACTGGTATTGCAGAAAACATTTCGCATAAATATGCAAAGTGTAATATAAAGAAAAATGAAAAATACTGGTTTACTCAGAAAAATTAGAAGCACAGAACAATCCATGATAAAAAGTGTAGTGTAACACAGTTAAAAATGAAATGATATTGGATTGTGAATGTATTCTAGTCAAGAAGAAAGTAACTAGTCAGAGAAATACTCTTTTCAATAGACAAAATTCCCAAAAGATGAGAATCTACATGGGGCATCAGAAAATGGCAGTTTATCTAGAGAAGGTTTAACAAAAAGAGACAATGTTCTGTAATGAAGGGATATACAAATAGAAGCTAAGTGACAAACAAATACTTCCATTCATGTGTCACATTATGAAGTATTTGCTCTGGTTTGTGATCTGTAGCTTCTTAAGCAACTGATATAATAGTGTTAATCAGAACTTTTCTGTGCAGAATAATCATTCTCAAATACTTTATTTATGATGAAGTAACCAGTTTTTATGGATCTTAACCATGAGTACTTTTGAAATCTTACTCTTTATTAAGATTAAAATACAAATAACAATTAATCAAGACAGTATTTCCAATATTACTCAACAACAAAACTTCTGAGATGAACCACAGTTTGCAAGGAGACCACAATTTAAATAAAAGGCTTTAATCGAGCTAGATCTCGCACACTTTCAAAAACCAAAGGAGCCAGATGTGTTTTTATATGCCTAGTTTGGTCTCATGTCAACTAAATGTTGCTAACATCAACTTTCAAGCTTTAACTGCAAATTACAAAATTAATGTTTATATATATATATGGAAATTACTTAAAATATGAGTGTATTAAAAAGTAGCTTAGAAGCTGTAAAATTTTAGTTCCAACATAATCCCAAATCAAAGTTCCCTTTAATTTGAACTAGCTTATCAAATCCTAATTTTCTGATGACTATGAACCTGTAACAATTTTTTTGTTAAAAGTCGCATGCAAGAGTTTCCATTTTCCTCTGTAAAATTCAAGAGTAAATATTCATAATTAATGGATTTTTCTGAACACTTTACCTTTTCAAGTAGATACTGAAGAAAGAGAGCTCGGGCGTATGCAAAACTTCTGGATGCTTTTGACAAACATCTATGAACCCTTGAAGTTGGTTTACTTGTTCTTTGTCAAATCTATACGCCATCTTATCTGTTGAAGTAAATAATAAAATACTACTGCAAAAAAATGTGTGAAAACAGTAATCAAAATACTTCAAACCTTCTAAAGAACAAATTGTTTACAAACATATAGCAGGTAGAAAATATTGGTTATCTTATAAATTCTAATTTACCTAAATATACATAATCTCCATCATTCACAAGTCTTATGAAAATGGTAGCAAAGAGAAGCCCTACACAATTTGACCTATGACAAAATGACTTATCTTTTTTTTACGCATGCAATTAAGGCTAAGCACAAACAGACTTTCTCTAATGATACAGATAAGGGACAGCTGAACTTATCTCACAATAAGGTATAGTAAACTACATGTCCAGATAGAAGGTAAAATTTTGTACTCTTATTGTCTAACAAAATAAAAACTTTCTCAGTACTACATGAGAAATGTTGGTAAAGACAGCCAAACAACAATTAAAACTGAACAAAGGAGGCTTATCATTAGCTGCCACTGAGAATTTAATCATAATTTACCTAACTCACAATCCCAAACAGCAAAATCATAAATGTCCTTAATCTTGTTAGACCATGAGAGATGTAAATTATGGTCTTACTGCAAACACTACATTGACTACTTCAGCTTTATATAAAATATTACGTTCGTGGTGTCAGTATACCTAGTGACATGAATAGTTACTTATATTTCTTTTTCAAAAATAAGTTGCTTATGCCTTAATGCAAAAATTAGGCATCTATAAGAAAATTGGGTTTTAAGGCTAAAACATGACATTAGATGTTTCAAGAATTTTTGTGTTGAAATAAGGCTGTCTTTAGGCTATTGATATGCAGTGAACAAAATGAAACTTAAAGGATGTTAGCAATATCCCCAACATTGAGCATTCTATGGGAACTGGCCTGAATAATGTAAATATTAATCCAGTGATAGTAACTAGAGAGACTTAAAGATTAAAAATTGATGAAGCACTGTTAGCAGATAATGTTTTTTGAGTTTTATGGGAGGTCAAAGATATGCAATCCCCACTCACTTTTAATAGGTCTAAATATAGTGAGCAGGTCCCTAGAGACACCAATGTTACTCTACTTTTAAAATTTATAAGAGTTGCACTGGAAATTATAGGCTAGTTTAGTTAGTCTTCTTCTGTAGGGGGAACAATTCTAAAAAATCTGATAAAAGAAGTGTTGTAAAATCATTTAGTGAAATATGAAACCTTAGGACAAATCCACAAGTCTTTTGATAAAGTCCCACACAGAAAATTAGCTAAAAACAAAACCATATCAGTGGAATATAGAAAATGACTTCAATTGGATTACGAGGTGGCTGGCTGAAAGCAAAATGTTTCTTTATGAAGTACGGTTAAACTGGACCTCTGTTACTAGTGGCATGCATTAGAGGTCAATGCTTAGGCCTTTGTTTTCCTCACATTAATGACACGAACAGCATTATAGTTAGTAAACTAGGAATGTTTGTCACTAAACTAAAATCTTTGGTGTTTCTAGCTATACTGAAAATGCTAAGCTACTAAAGAATAACTTAGATCAAATTGGTAAGTTATATAAGTACTTGATAAATGACCTTTAAAAATAATAGTGCAAAGAATGCATTTGACTTATCATAATTTAGTTCATATTTTTAAAATAAATGGTAACTCACTCAGTGGCATAACTGAAGAAAAGGATTTTGGCATAACTGTAGATGAGTGACTAAAGCCATTGGTGCATTTTTGTGTTGCTAGTAGTAAAGCTAATAGAATTTTACAATGTATTTACTGTCATAGACATAGAGATATTTTCTTTATATAAATAAACTAGTTGGGCCTCATTTGAAATACTTTGTATAGAACTGGTCTCCTGATTTAAGAAAAGATGGTTACTTGTTGAAAAAAGTTAAGAAGAGGGCTGTTAGGACGATTTTTGTGGGTAGAAATATTGTCTCACGGGGTTAGGTTAAGATCTCTTAACTTACTTTCTCTTGATAAGAGAAGGGTAAGAACCAATTTTTTGAAAGCTTAGGACTATCCATGGGGAATGATAGGATAAAGGTCTCTGATTTCTCTGTACTATATTCTAAAGACAATAAGGCAAAAGGACACAAATTTAAAATCTGAAAAAGACAGGCTAAGCTACAGTTAATTTTTTTTTTCCTAATATGGTGATTGACTTATGGAAAGAAGTGCCAACAGCAATAACGGAAACCAGTATTTTACAGGAGTTTAGAAAGGAGAAACAATTTACATCAAAAGGGTGGGTTTAAATTTTTACTTATTCCAAGACTGGATATGCAAGACAGTCCAGAAGGACCAAATTGTTTCTTGTTATCTGCAGGTTATGTAATTCCCAAAGAGGGATTTCCCTATTCCACACACTCAAGTGTGGAATGCTTATTAAACATGCTTATTAATTTCTTGATTCAGCTTTCACAACTAGAATTAAAACAGATGATCAGTTTATGAGTAAGAAGGTAGGAATTCTGCCTATGAGTTTATCAACCTTAAACCTTTCTTTTAATACAACAATAAATCTCAAGTTAAAGATAAAACACAAAAATATAATATTTATCATTGAGTACACTTCCTAAATAATATTTAACTTATATATCACACTAAGATGTGTAAAATCTTCATGTGATACATAAATTAAAATAATTATACTATAAAAACTATAAAATTATTTACAAGTTAAAACTGTTTTCCATTCACACACTCAGAAATAATTTTTATATTACTAATGTACATATCATAATTTGACAACATTATGATGGAAAAAGTTTATACATTCTCATACAAGACTATTCAATGGTAAATTTTAAGCACTTCATTCGACTATGTCATACATGATACAGTCAATTATTTTCTGTCAATGTTCCAATTTCTTGCTTATAATAAGGTAAAGATACTGTAGAACCTGTATTAATTATTAATGCACAGAATTTTCTTTTTATGTTGTTCTACAATTCAAGATATGAATGCAACTTGAAAAAATAAATTTATAAATTGAATATGAATTATATATCCATTTGAAATGTACTGTAAATACATACCCTTACTGCAGTCCACCAATGCACTACCCATTGTACAAGAGTACATTCCTAGCATTAGCCCACAATTCAGGCTCTAAATCTGCTTTTATCAATTTTTCTAATTTACTTGATTTATAGCTTAAAGCTTAACACCAATATACCGGAAGCAGTTTCTTTTTTATTCTCCTGACAAGAAACTATATTGGAGATCCCTCACGGCCTCGTATAATTGACACACTAATAAAAATATACGTTTATATTTGATTTTGAATAAACAAAGTATTTTGTTTTGTAATGAATGTGACAACAAAAAATATTTTAAAGAAATTAATTTGTGTAAAGTACAACAAATGTTTGAAATTTTACATTTTTTACAGGTTATAATGGTACGTCCTAAACAATAATGGCGCAAAAGATTCGCATGGGACTGTCGTTACAATTAATGTTAGTTATGCCTGGTCATCTTTCACAAGTTATGCGATTATAGGCACGGCACGTGATCCTTTATAATCCTAGGCCTAATAAGTTTAAATTCGTCACATTTCCGAACTATGTAAAGTTTGATTTTTAATTATGTTTCATTTAACTTATGTCAAATAAATGACCAAAAATAAAAACATTAAGATTCACACATACCAGGTTTTTGTTTTGGTTTACAAATTAAGGTAAATATGAGTTAAAGTGATACTTTCTTACCGTATTAGTAACGGAATATCCAATACTACACTAATTTAAACTGAGGGCTCTCTTCGAACTAACTAGAAAAATCTTTTAACGCCCTCTAACTTGTAGAAAAAAATAGAATTAGAAATTGTATTGGTTAGATGGAGTAGTTTTTTAAGTGAACATGTAGTTCGCGTAAATTACTTTTGCCATTGGTGGTAAGAAATATAATATCATGTAACTCCTGTCACAAATTGAATTGAACAAATTGTATTAATTCGGCCCCCCAGTGGCACAGCGGTATGTCTGAAGACTTACAACGCTAGAAACCGGGTTTCGATACCCGTGATGGGCATAGCACAGATAGCCCTTGTGTAGCTTTGTGCATAATTATAAATAAAGAAACAAAAATATTAATTCGTGGGCACTGGTGGTGAAAAAAATCAAGTTAAGTTTTAGTTTTAATCAAAATTTAGTGAGATGCACAATTCTACAATAATAAGTATGTAATATTATTATTTAACAAATACTTGTATATTTTATGTGACATTTATATGATGAATTTAAATTATAAATTACAGGCTTTCACTTATTGAATTACATAAAACTATTTATTATTCTTTGTAAATTTGTAATAAAATAAAATAAAAATTTTGTAATCTCCGATTCTTTATGCAGTACCTTAAGTTTTAGCAATTATTCAATTTTCGGCTTAATTTATTCAAAATACTGTTCTAAATAAATAGTGACATTGATAACTGAAAGTTGTAGCTGGCGCTGATGATATTGTTACGTCTCCGTTCGTTAGTTATTTTTCCGTAAATTCATTCCGACGTAACTTAAGCGA